CAGACATAGCTGAAAAACTATAAGAGATACAACATGAAAACTTTTAAAGGTAGGATATTTTCTCAATGGGGTAGATGTGAAAGTTTGCAACAAGAAATCAAACTCTGCCTTGCCTTAAATTTTGGGAAATTACTTTGCCACTTTGAACTTTTTCCCAGGGAGACTTACTTCTGAAACTTTACAAGAGGTGTCTTTCCTTTTTTCCAAAAAACCTATTCGGGAGGCCCCTCCACCCGGCTTCAACCCCGGCTCTTGTTGAAACAGCTTTGACCTAAACCCTAAAAACGACTTGGTTCCGCTTTCTTATGATATATTTTATTGATTTTGGATCAATTTAAATTAAGGGCCTTTTACATTTTTTTTTAAACAATTTTAAAATAACATATCCCACCCCTCCAAATTAAATTCAACATTATACATTATTCGAAAAATAAACATGGGTCTTTTTTGGTTTAAATAAGGTTTTAAACATGAAAATTGGGAAACTTTAAAACCCAAGGGAAATATCTTTAATAAAAAAAATACATGTTTTTAATTTTTTGGGTAATAAAAATTTTCATGGCCCCCCCGTAAAAAGTAAGAGGGAATTACCATACAGCCCCAAAGAAAAAAAATTTTACGGGACGTACTTTTTTCCAAAAAAATTTTTGTTTTTTTTAAAAATCTTTTAAAAAAGGAATTTTTTCCCAAAAAAAAATTTTTTTTTTCCTGCTGGGAAAGCTAAAAATCGTTTTTCCAAAAGGGAAAAAAACATGAAAAGGGAAGGGAAGTTTCTTAAAAAAAGGGGAAATTTAAAAACCAAAAGCAGCAAAAAAAATTTATATTTGTTTGTTTTTCCCATATTACCCGGCTTTTCCCCTTTGGGGTTCAATAATAAAAAAATTTTACTTTTTGATCTTAAGAAATTTGGTTGCCCAAAAAAAATAAACACCCAAAAAAATTATAAAAAACAAAACCCCAACCCCTTGGGGCATAAAAACACCCCCAAAAAACCCGTAAAAAATTTTTCCCAACCTTTTTAACTCTAAAAACAAAATGAAAAAAGTATAAATGCATTTTGAGGGAAAAATTAATTTTTTAATTTGAGGGAATTTATTCAAAAAACTTGTAAAAAGGGAAAAAATAAAAATATATCGGCCAGACCCTTTTAAAAGGATAAAAAAAAAAGAAGGGGTCATAAACTTGTTTAATAAGAAAGTTTTTTATCCCAATTTTTTTTTAATTTTTTGAGTTTTTTAAATTTTTCCCATATATTTTCCCCTTTTGGGTTTTGATTTTCCCTTTCTCCCGTTTGCCATATTGGCAAAAAAAACCTGTTTTCCTTTTTTAGTAGAAATTTTAAATGTTTTTAAAAATTTGTTTATTAATTAATTTATTTGAATCTATACAAATACATTATCTATGCCAATTATATAAATTATTTAATTACCCCCTTTATTTCACGGCATGTTTTTTTTTTTACAATTATATACTACATTATTCATAATGTATTCGTATGATTTTTGATTTTTTCAAATAACATAAATTAATTTTGAAGATAATGTCATAACTTGAATAGATAATAGATAGATAATTTTCATTTATATATTATAAGCTTATATAAGATATATTGAATGATAGCGATGTTTCTAAAATATTATCTCTTTTTTTACAATTTCAAAATAATGATTAAAGCATTTTTTTCGAAAATCTAAACTTCAACATAAGTAACTCATACTTGTTTGAAATTATTTACTAGCCTAGTTTCTCTATGAAAATGTATGTATCTTTTGATCCAGTTATCTTATGTAATTTCTTTTTGAAAATTATATATATGCTATTCGAAATAATTACGTTTATATATAACACATGCACATGTTTTAGTGTATACAATAGTAATAAACGTTTTTATTTTATTATAATATTATACCGTTTCTTTTACGTGCCAAATGTGGCGTCTATATTAACGTAGACGTCTGTTTAGTACGTTTACGTCATTTAATATCAAACTGACGAAGCTAAATAAAGGAAACATGCATTGATTTTTCAATTTGTGTTGGGTTTTTTTTATCTATTTATTCTATTGAATTTTCAACTAAATACTAGATTGACAGGATAGGACATGTTCTAACTATCTCTTAAATATTGTTGTATATAGACCTCCCACGATGACAGCTAGGTAAAGATTTCCAAATTATCCCCCGAAAACCGTGTTTGATTAATACAATTCCAGAACAAATAGGAATGAAATATACACAAAGTAGTACAATGAAGTAAAATGGATGTTGAAAAACTCATGGTTGTGGCATGTTCGAATCCCAAATTACTCAGAAAATGATTATAGTCTTTTCTTAATAAAGGAGTTTCCATCATTACTCGTGTACTCATTAAGACAAATATAATTTTCACCGTGAGACAAAAACACAGACCAGGCTTTAAGCAGCTCAGTTATTTTATTCATTCCAGTTCCTATAAATGCACCATCTGTGATCTCCACGTACGGCTTACCTCTTAACCAATCTTCTTAAATGGTTAATACCAACAATTATACCATTTACATATATATTGCAGTAATAATAATGAGTAAATTCTGTAAGGGATGCATTCAAATTAAATCAAAATTTATTAATTGTCGGTACTGTACTGTTTGCATATAATAAAATTTCACCTTGACGGTATAGCTATATACATGTATACTCATAATGTAAGAGGCTACATATTTTTTTTTTTTTTTAAAACATTTCACAAAACATAAGCGCAATTCTGAGGATTCATATAAATTTATTAATATAGTATTACTGTCCATATGCAAGTGTTATATTGCTTTGAAAAGTTTTAATTAGTCTTGTACAACTAAACCATTTTCATAGTAAAAAGGGTGTTGTACGTAACAGTTTTTCTTTATCTGTTGTTACTAAGGGAACTGTAATTAAGTACTTAAATAAACTAGGGGCCAATAAAGCTACAGGCTTGGATGGTATACCTGCGCGATTTATAAAGGATAGTGTTCTCAACATTGCTGAACCCCTTACTCATATACTTAATATGTCCATTTTTACTGGTATTGTTCCAGATGATCTCAAGTCTGCCCGTGTTGTTCCATTGTATAAAAAAAATAATAAGACTGAACCTGGTAATTATCGACCAGTGTCTAGTTTAAGTGTAGTGTCCAAGGTCCTTGAGAGAATTATTTATGACCAAGTAGAGAGTTACTTATCAGAGAATAACCTACTTTATACCCATCAGTCTGGTTTTAGACATAGATATTCTACTGACACTTGCCTTTTACACCTTACAGATTTCATTAAATTTGAAATGGATAAAGGTAATTATGTTGGTATGGTCCTTTTAGATTTACAAAAGGCGTTCGACACTGTCGATCATAATATTTTACTCATAAAACTTGATGCTATGGGGTTTTCTAGTGATGTTATTCACTGGTTTAGGTCTTACTTATCTAGCCGTACACAAATGGTCAATGTCTCCGGTGTGCTTTTATCTAGCGCCAATGTAACTTGTGGGGTACCCCAAGGTTCGATCCTCGGCCCTCTCCTATTCTTGATTTATGTTAATGATATGGAGGCTGTGGTTCGTAATAAATTGCTTCTGTATGCTGATGACTCAGGTATTTTAGTATCAGGTAAAGATATCCAGTATATTATCTCTCAGCTTACTGATGATCTCAGCAGTGTGAGTAAGTGGCTCACTGATAATAAACTTTCCTTACATCTTGGAAAGACAGAGTCTATTTTATTTGCGTCTAAACCAAGACTTAGGTCATGTGATCAACTAAATATTGTATGTAATGGTACTACAATAACATCCACCAAATTTGTTAAATACTTAGGTGCTGACCTAGATCAATGTCGATCTATCTGGTGAGCCTATAGCCAACCAGGTAATTAAGAAGGCCAATGCTAAAATTTAAGTTTTTATATAGAAAAAGTTCATTTTTTAAATAGGTATACTAAACAGCTTTTAGTTTCTTCATTAATACAATGTCATTTTGATTATGCGTGTGCCTCCTGGTATTTAGGGTTGTTGCGTTCATTGAACGCCGCCTTTCCTTGTTGATCTTGTTTTTCATATTTTGAGTCAAAATCTAAAAAATAGACTTCAGGCCACACAGAATAAGTTGGTGAAATTTATACTTAATCTCAGTCCCCGTACTCATATAGGGAGGGCTCATTTTGAGGAAGTTGGTTGGTTACCAGTACATCTGAGGGTAAATTTCCTTATTCTTGGTCATGTACATAAGATACATAACAATAGTGCACCTAGTTATTTAAATGAGCATTTTCAAATTGCAAATGAGGTACACTCTTACTCCACTCGATTTAGAGATAGTAACAGTTATTCTATTCCAAGAGTTAAGGGTTTCGGTAAGAAAACATTTGTATTTAATGGTTGTCAGGAATGGAACAGGTTACCAACACATCTTAGGTTCATAGCAAGTCGTGATAATTTTAAAAAATCTCTTAAGGAACATTTTATGCAATCAATATCTGTTTAGTCATTTTAATCTAGTCATCTTACCTAGCTTTTATTTATATATTTTTTATGTTTAGTGCATATTTTAGTAGTACCTATTCATTGTCAAACATATCTGTCATAATAATTATGATTATAATAACTGTGTGATAAATTCTGTGATGGAAATACTTATGTGCAATAATTGATATAAGATATTGTAATTGAATAATTTATGTGCAATACTTAATAATTAGTAAATATTTTGCCTTTCTGGTGTCATATGATCAATTCTAAGGACCACAATGGAAATAAGTCGGCTTATGCCTTCTTTTTGTGTCATCCTTGGTATTGAATATATGGCACCAACACATGCACTTTCATGTTTACATGTATCTCTTGATGTTGACATTGAATTTATAGTTGTTTTATGACATATTTTTTACCAGAATAAAACTATCTATCTATCTATATAGATAAACCATGCCGTCAGCTTATTGGCCAAAACCTGTTCGATTATCAGAACAACACGCAGGAACTTTATTCCGTTTTTATTCGCATTTTAAATAATCAAGTAGTGCTTTTGTCGTTGTCAACAGATCCAGCGATGTAAAATCGAATTTTAGAATTCTAACAAGTGTATATTTGTGGAATACAAGTTTTCTTTCTTTCTGTAACACTTACTCCGCCTTATTGGAAGTCTGAGTATGCTCTTTTTACAAAATATAATTCCTGTTTGATTATTTAATGCAGATGAGTAGTAAGCGGATGCTATCAATTTGGACGCTCGAACGACCAAAATTATTTATCAGACGTTACGGACTTGTTTTTATTTTTTTGTTGGTCAAGGCCGACGTCTAATAGTTATTGCATATAAACGCATAGCATCATATTTGTTTTTAATTTCTGTAAGCTTTACTCAAACTAATATGAAATTGCAAAGCCTATGAACGGGGAAGTCGGTAAAAAAATCCTTTCATTCTTTCCGTTTTAAAGGTGTCATTCGATATTACATACACCGCTTCCGTTTTCACTCGGAACACTCGACGATTATTACTAATCCGAAAAGTTGAGATTTGTTCCGTTATCGGAATACCCCGCCTATTATCCTAAACATACATTGTAAATGGCGGCGCCCGACCAGAACTGACACTGAAAATTTCATTGATAGGTATAGAATTCTATATATTTTTTAATTGTTTTTTATTTGATTTTCTTTTGAATATTCACGTGTAATCTATAGCCAGGCAAGCCAAAGCCCGGACCCGCTTCGCGGGCCCGGTCTTTGACTTCCCCGTAATATGAAAATAGCTGCTACCTATGGCGCGGAAAGCTCTTATGAATTATGATTTTAGCATAACAGTAATGTTTAGTGTACATGTAAACCAGATCTTTCTTGCACTTCATTAATAAATGCAGGTATTTTGTACTGTAAACAACAAGTATAAATTGGTGGTGTTCAACCTATCTTCGGAGCTCATAAAGGGGGACCACTGCGCATGCGTCGGCTGTCTGCCATTTTTGTTAATCTCTAATCCAGTTGTTGTTTTAACGTTTTTTTAATAATTTTTAACCTAGAGACCAAAACATTTGACACAGTTCAGCTAGGTTCTTCTCCTAACTAACAAACTAGTTTTTAGCTCACCTTGCACAAAGTGCAGGTGAGCTTTTAGGATGGCCAACCAAATGGCGTCCGTCGTCTGTTGTCCGTCCACATTTTAAATATTCTAAGGACATCTTCTATGATACCGCAAGGCCAATGTTAATGAAACTTGGCAGGAATACTCTTTGTATGAAGCTCTATCAAGATTGTTCAAAGAATTCCATTTCATGCAGAACTCTGGTTGCCATGGCAACCGAAAGAAAAATCTTTAAATATCTTCTTTTAAAGAACCCTAAGAGCTAGAGCTTAGATATTTGGCATGAAACATCTTCTAATGAGTGTCTACCAAGTTTGTTCAAATAAAAGCCCTGGGGTCAAAATTGGCCCCGCCCCAGGGGGTCATTGATTTTCCCTATATGCATATAGTAAAAACTTAAAAAATCTTCTTTTAAAGAACCCAAAGAGCTAGAGCTAAGATATTTGGCATGAAACATCTTCTAGTGAGTGTCTACCAAGTTTGTTCAAATAAAAGCCCTGGGGTCAAAATTGGCCCCGCCCCAGGGGGTCATTGATTTTCCCTATATGCATATAGTAAAAATTTAAAAAATCTTCTTTTAAAGAACTGTAAAAGCTAGAGCTTAGATATTAGGCATGAAACATCTTCTAGTGAATGTCTACCAAGTTTGTTCAAATAAAAGCCGTAGGGTCAAAATTGGCCCCGCCCCAGGGGGTCATTGATTTTCCCTATATGCATATAGTAAAAACTTAAAAAATCTTCTTTTAAAGAACCCAAAGAGCTAGAGCTAAGATATTTAGCATGGAACATCTTCTAATGAGTGTCTACCAAGTTTGTTCAAATAAAAGCCCTGAGGTCAAAATTGGGCCTGCCCCACGGGGGTCATAGATTTTCCCTATATGCATATAGTAAAAACTTAAAAAATCTTCTTTTAAAGAACCCAAAGAGCTAGAGCTAAGATATTATTTAGCATGAAACATCTTCTAATGAGTGTCTACAGGGGTGTCATTGTTTTTAACTATATGTGTATAGTAAAAACTTAAAAATCTTCTTTTAAAAAACCCAATGAGCTAGAACTTAGATGTTTAGCATGAAACATCTTCTTATGGGTACATGATGTGATTTAATTCAGATAAAAGCTTGGGTGAGTTGATTTTTGATTTGTTACATGATATACAATATGTTAGCAACAATTGCTGAAGTTTTGGATGTTCTATTATTCACTCTGCAAATGATAATAGCTGGTATATGAGGTCAGACATTGCTTTCTTGACCCCCAAATTTCAACGTCAACATTCTTGAAATTGACATTAAAATATTACCATTTACGGAGGTTGCAATAAATTTATTAACTTAATTTTAAAAGAAACATGCACTTATTGTTGATAAAAAAGTGACTGACAACCACTGATCAAAGAAAATACTAAATTAAGCATTTTCGGGACCGTCCGGGTTTGGTGGTTGTACGGTTTTGGTGGTCCCCAACCAGTATAATCATTACTATTGTTCTTATCAATGAAATGCATGTTTATTTTCTGATTTGTACATCATTCTTTCACCTGAAGTGTTATTTAGCAAGGGTCTGCTAGCAATAATCTGAATTAAATCTCACTAAAAGCGCTCTGATATCTATATTTAGCTTAAAAGGATTTCAAAATGGCGGCGCCCAGTTAATCACAGCTCATTATGTATAGGATATATTTTTTTTTGAAATTTTCATTTATTATTAATGTAATTTCATTTGAATTGATACGCGTCATACATGTTATCTAAGAGCGCTACAGCCCTCGCGGGGCCTTTGGCCTCTCTCGGACTTTCAGCGTATCAAAGTTTCTTTCAAATTCATTATTTCATGCTCACTTATGGTTAAACAGTGTAATACACTGATACACACATTCATAAGTAGCAGATGACAGGCTATTCTTACCAGTAGTTTTATGAGTAAATATAACTGGTTGCGTATCTTACTGTATACATTGTACATTGTTGTAATTATGTAAAATGGTCTGACATATGGAATGTTTAATGGTTAATCCCTTTACCTCACTTATATGCGAAACAACGCACTTTCGACCCCTTCCCCCTCTTTTAGGCCTCAAATAGTGAAAAAATGAGATTGTCCTATTTTGGACCCAAACACATGTTTTCGTTTGAGAATTGTTGCTTAAATAAGTGAGAACTTTTTGGCTCCGCCCAGTCCCCCCCCCCATCCAAAAGATACATCAGGTTGTTGCCTTCTGTTTGGGAGGTTTGAAGGGGGGCGGTAGTCCCCCTCATCGCCAAGAAAATTTTGGACTTGTGAGAGGCTAAAAATGACCCCAGATCGATTATAAGGTAATGTGTAACCAACCTCTGAAAGCCTTTGACTCTGTCTCAATCCCTGAGAAGTTGCAGCACTTTGAAATAAATTTTGTAGGGGTGTCATTGATTCAATTGATATCGGTGTATCAACGATCTTTGTTATCCGATTCGATATCAATTCCAATTTTTAAATATCGGATGCACATATATTTCTAGCTAAAGAGACTCCAGCGAACAGGTTTTAAAGAACTGATAGACCTGTTTACTGTCGCAAAACGTCAAAATAAAAGCGACATTTAAAGTTATGGAAGCCAGAAACATTTTTTTTCTAAAATGAAAACGGAAATCAATGCCAAAGTTACCTCCCCATGTCTCTAACGAATGCTGCCTAATTTCTTTGTAATCTCGCATGTCTGCTAAGTGAATGTGAAGACCCCTCAATTCAGATTTTAAAAAGGGAAAATGCCAAGAAAATTTTGATAGTGTTTCTTTGTAAAAATTATGATTACAAAATGTTAAACTTTAATAATTATTCAGGTTCTAAACACTTAGTCTAGTATAATTTGCCAATCAAACCAGGCTTAATTTGAACGGCATGGATGGTATTTAGCATGATCAGTAACTACGTAATAGCAACAACAACAACTAAAGTAAAATGGAAAAGGCTTTAAACTTTATAGTTACTAGTCATTAGTTTTCATTTATAGCTAAATGATAAAAAAGGAAACAAATTGTTCAGTTTTCATAGTTTATCTTTTTTGCATTTGTCTTAATATAACTGCTTTGTCAGTGTCCTGAATAGGAAACATTTAAAAAGACTTGAAAGCTAAAATTTAGCCTGGCAATCGATATATTGCTGTATCGCCGATAAATCATTACTGATATATCGATACAAAAATCTTTATCGATGACACCTCTAAAATTTTGATGGAAAAATATCGAGGCAAAATAGTGATTTTTGGCAATTTTGAGACGTTCCCTCATTGCCATGGTAACAGGAAATTTAAGACTGAGCATGTCGTTACAAAGGCAATGGTCCAGTCAACATTTGTGCCAAGTTTGATTAGTATTGAAGCATTTTTCATAGTTTCATAGCAGTTTGAACTTGTAACAGGAGGCTTTTCAATGAAAAAGGCCATTTTTCACATAATTATGCTCATGAGGTTAAATACTTGTTAGGTGTCAAAAGATGTGTTGAAGTATATATTTAACAAATCTAAGATCCAAAGCTTTCCAGCTTTCCATTGATGCAATCATTTTCAAAATCTGACATTTAAACACAACAAATTAGCGGTTTAAAAACGGCTTAATTTGTATTGTTTAAGGGTAAGATATATAGATTTTACTTGAAGATACGGGTAACAATTCATATTTTTTCACTCTATATATCTCGGTTATTTAGGTACAATAGTTCATATCAAAAGTGTTTAAGGGTGTATTATCAATTTATAATGTAATACAAGCATCATTCTTTTTGTTTGCCTACCATATTGGTCTAGTAAAGCACTTTCAAATTGATTTCAAATTTTTTAACAGAAAAAATATATTTAACATAAATATTTATTATGCCCCCATTTCGAAGAAAAGGGGGTATATTGCTTTGCACTTGTCGGTCCGTCGGTCCATTGGTCCGTCGGTCCGTAGACCAAATGGTTTCCGAGTGATAACTAAAGAACCCTTAGGCCTAGGAACTTCAAACTTGGTATGGTGATTGGTCATGACCAGTAGATGACCCCTATTGATTTTGGGGTCAAGGGGTCAAAGGTCAAGGTCACATTGACCTTGTAAGCAAAAATGGTTTCCGATCAATAACTAAAGAACCTTAAGGCCTAGGAACTTCAAACTTGGTATGGTGATTGGTCATGACCAGTAGATGACCCCTATTGATTTTGGGGTCAAAGGGTCAAAGGTCAAGGTCACATTGACCTTGTAAGCAAAAACGGTTTCCGATCAATAACTAAAGAACCTTAAGGCCTAGGAACTTCAAACTTGGTATGGTGATTGGTCATGATTAGTAGATGACCCCTATTGATTTTGGGGTCAAAGGGTCAAAGGTCAAGGTTACATTGACCTTGTAAGCAATAACTGTTTCTGATCAATAACTAAAGAACTTAAAGGCCTAGGAACTTCAAACTTGGTATGGTGATTGGTCATGATCAGTAAATGACCCCTATTGATTTTGGGGTCAAGGGGTCAAAGGTCAAGGTCACATTGACCTTGTAAGCAAAAACGGTTTCCGATCAATAACTAAAGAACCTTAAGGCCTAGGAACTTCAAACTTGGTATGGTGATTGGTCATGACCAGTAGATGACCCATATTGATTTTGGGGTCACAGGGTCAAAGGTCAAGGTCACATTGACCTTGTAAGCAAAAACGGTTTCCGATCAATAACTAAAGAACCTTAAGGCCTAGGAACTTCAAACTTGGTATGGTGATTGGTCATGATCAGTAGATGATCCCTATTGATTTTGGGGTCAAGGGGTCAAAGGTCAAGGTCATATTGACCTTGTAAGCAATAATGGTTTCTGATCAATAACTAAAGAACTTTAAGGCCTAGGAACTTCAAACTTGGTATGGTGATTGGTCATGATCAGTAGATGACCCCTATTGATTTTGGGGTCAAGGGGTCAAAGGTCAAGGTTACATTGACCTCTTGGGTAAAAACGGTTTCTGATCATTTACAAAAGAACCCTTAGGCCTAGGATCTTCAAACTTGGTATGGTGATCGGTCATGACCAGCAGATGACCCCTATTGATTTTGGGGTTAAGGGGTCAAAGGTCAAGGTTACATTGACCTTGTAGGTAAAAACGATTTCCGATCAATAACGAAAGAACCCTTAGGCCTAGGAACTTCAAACTTGGTATGGTGATTGGTCATGACCAGCAGATGACCCCTATTGATTTTCGGGTTAAGGGGTCAAAGGTCAAGGTCACATTGACTTTGTAGGTAAAAACGGTTTCCGATCAATAACGAAAGAACCCTTAGGCCTAGAGACTTCAAACTTGATATGGTGATTGGTCATGATCAGTAGATGACCCCTATTGATTTTGGGGTCAAGGGGTCAAAGGTCAAGGTCACATTTACCTCTAAGGTAAAAACAGTTTCCGATTAATAACTAAAGAACCCTTAGGCCTAGGAACTTCAAACTCGGTATGGTGATTGGTCATGACCACTAGATGACCCCTATTGATATTGGGGTTAAGGGCTCAAAGGGCAAGGTCACATTGACCTTGTAGGTAAAAATGCTTTCAAATCAATAACTTAAGAACCCTTTGGCCTAGGAACTTCAAACATGGTATGGTGATTGGTCATGACCAGCAGATGACCTATTTTGGGGTCAAGGGGTCAAAGGTCAAGGTCACATTGATGTTGTATGTTAAAACGGTTTCCGATCAATTTACTAAAAACGCTTAGGCCTAGGAACTTCAAACTTTGTATGATGATTGGTTGTGACCAGCAGATGACCCCTATTGAGTTTGGGTCAAGGGGTCAAAGGTTAAGGTCATGACCAGTAGATACTTGATAACCCTTATTAATTGTTTGATCACTGGGTCAGAAGTCATGCATAATAACCTTTTCACATGACTAATTGGCTGCTGATAGGGGGCATTCATGTTTTACAAACATATCTTGTTGATATTGAAACGCTTGTATTCGATTAGCCAATCAGATTTTGTGCAATGTGTGACGTTCATTTGTTTATTGTCTGTGTAAGGAATTTTAATTTTTAATTAATCAAATAAAAGGATTTAATCATGATTTTCAGATGTGACAGTTTAATTATTATGTTAAAATGTATTTCTTTTTTAACTTTTGTTCATGAATAGTACAAAATTAATGTAATTCTATATGTTGAGTTACATGTTTTAGGGTTCCGTAAGTCAGGGCTCGAGCTAGTGGGCGATTCGGGCGAAATAGTTGCCGAATTCCGCCTGACTTCGCCGACATCCTACATGAAAGCGAAGATGAAGTCGCCCGATTTTATTGATCCATTATTGAAAATTACCAACAATAACTGTGAATAACATGTTGTGTGTGTTTGCTTTGTTTACTCTCGCCGCCGGAAAAAGGGACTGTCATGCATCTCAATCAACGCGTAATGTCATTAATCCGTTTGTTTACCAACATGTCATAAAAGTCTAATTAACAGACGCTCGAGGAACAATTAGACTCCGCCCACGGTGAGATTACCGATACGTGCGAGAAACCAATCGTAATTCACGTTTTAATCGAGGCGACATTATTTAACCAATCGTTAAATCGCTAACATAGAACTACCTGTAACAATTATTTATGATGGACGGATCAAACGTCAATTAAATTTTCACTATCGAATGATTGTCAGAATTAAGAGGACCGCTAGACATATAACTGTAACGGTAATTTTAAATGAAAGTTATGATAACCTTTTTTGTCGATGAGTTAAATTTGATAAAATTAACGGCGTATTACACTGTATTTATTACAAATGAAGTGAAATTAAAGATCGTTTCTTTCGTTATCTACTTTTATTTTCTTTACAACATAAGTGAATATGAATATAATGTCCGGCGCAAGCTTTTTAATAGTAAATCAGAAGGGAATAACTGTTAATCCACCCATGATATGATCCATGATAGGAATCAACTATGGCTTTTTTATCTTCATTTAATGCAATGGTTGCATTACATGATACTCATTCTCATTACTAAAATGTTTCAAACTACTTTTAAACAGAGACATAGATAACAATAGTTATAATAATAGCTATCTATGTCTCTGTTTTAAATTAAAATTGAATATTCTGTTGTAACACAAATCCAATTAATTTAATAAGATATGTACATTGAGTCAACATAATTGCGATAACATACAATAAACATCGATAAATGAATCTCCTCACTTCTCCCTAAAGTCTCCCCACTTCTCCCTAAATCAGCTGGAGGGAGAAGTGACTTCTCCCTAAATTTTGAACCTAGCTTGAGCCCTGCCGTAAGTTAACTTTTTCTTGCTTAACATGCTATGGGTTTATGAGCAATTACGAAATGACATTGTGTTGCCAAGACGTAAAGATATCTCAAAGCAATGTCATATTTATAGGACTAGTTTAAAGATTGACTTGACTGATAGAATATTCACTGTATTTAGAATTTATCTACATAATATTAATTTAAATGAAAAACAAAATTTTGATAATTGCTTGTTTGTCATGTTTGTTTTGTTTTTTGTTTCCTTTGATAAATTTTCACTCTCCTTTGCTGTAAGTTAACTTACAAACTTAAATGCTTTAAAGTAACTGTTTATCTTTTGCATGATTACAATGTTGCTGTATAATTTCAGAAATGAATGTAACAAAGATTCTTGTGTGCTGCATCCTCTCAGTATGTGTACCTGGAGTGTTTATGGCGCCCCCTAGAAATGTTATTCAAATGGAGGAAAATAAAGTTGACAAAACAACTTTAAAACTCGAAATAAAACCTCCAGTAGAACTACCTCCTCAACAAAACAATCCAAATGATCAGTTAAAACTGGTCCAACAAATACAACCAGTCCAGCAAATACAACCAGTCCAACAAGCTCAACCAGTCCAACAAATACAACCAGTCCAGCAAATACAACCAGTCCAACAAGCTCAACCAGTCCAACAAATACAACCAGTCCAACAAATACAACCAGTCCAACAAATACAACCAGGCCAACAAGCTCAACCAGTCCAGCAAATACAACCAGTCCAACAAGCTCAACCAGTCCAGCAAATACAACCAGTCCAACAAATTCAACCAGTTCATCATGCAAATGATTTAGAAGAAAAATCTAAAGTTTTAAATGCCCCATCTGAGAAAAGACTTTCTGTAGAAGAACTTAAGCCAGCAGATCACCTTGATGCTGTTAAACTGGAACAAGATGGAATGATTAACAAAGATTATAAGAAAGAGATTTTTATAGGTAACCACGAGGAAATTGAAGATGAAAATTTAGAAGTTGCAGAATCTAAGCTGAAAGATGTGTTTGCTAAGTAAGTAATAACAATAAGTGATGAAGAGTATATAATTTATAGATAAAAGTTTTTGAAGAAAGAAGTGAACCTATTGGTTAGCTTGGATGTTGATCTTTGAGTAATCATTTCAGTTATCAAATTTAGCACTGGCGCCAGTGAAAATTAGTTTGGGCCTGTAAAAGTATTAAGAAAATTTAGTTAAATTAATAGAAGAATAAATTCAAAACTGGAATTCAGGCTAGTAAATTTACTGACTGTCATTTTGTTAAAGCAGCATGACAGGCTCCAGATTCATGGTTTATTTTTATACCCCCCCCGCACAACAAAGTTGTAAGGGGGGTATACTGGAATCAGCTTGTCCGTCCGTCCGGCCATTGGTTTTTTCTTGTCCGCCCAATAACTTAAGATTCCTTTGACCCTTAGTCTTCATATTTGGCATGGAGGTTAGTCATGATTAGTAGATGACCCCTAATGATGTTGAGGTCACTAGGTCAAAGGTCAAGGTCACAGGGGCCGTGACTTCAAAAAGCTTGTCCGCCCAATAACGTAAGATTCCTTTGACCTACAGTCTTCATATTTGGCATGGAGGTTAGTCATGATAAGTTCATGACCCTATTGATTTTGAGGTCACTAGGTCAAAGGTCAAGGTCACAGGGGCCTTGACTTCAAAAAGCTTGTCCGCCCAATAACTTAAGATTCCTTTGACCCACATTCTTCATATTTGGCATGGAGGTAAGTCATGATTTGTAGATGACCCCTATTGATTTTGAGGTCACCAGGTCAAAGGTCAAGGTCACAGGGGCCTTGACTTCAAAAAGCTTGTCCGCCCAATAACTTAAGATTCCTTTGACCCACAGTCTTCATATTTGGCATGGAGGCAAGTCATGATTAGTAGATGACCCCTATTGACTTTGAGGTCACCAGGTCAAAGGTCAAGGTCACAGGGGCCTTGACTTCAAAAAGCTTGTCCGCCCAATAACTTAAGATTCCTTTGACCCACAGTCTACATATTTGGCATGGAGGCTAATCATGATTAGTAGATTACCCCTTTTGATTTTGAGGTCATCAGGTCAAAGGTCACAGGGACTTTGACTTCAAAAAGTTTGTCCACCCATTAACTTAAGATTCCTTTGACCCACAGTCTTCATATTTGGCATGGATGTTGATCATGACTATAAGGTAACCCCTATTGATTTTGAGGTCACTGGGTCAAAGGTCAAGGTCACAGGGACCTTGACAAAAAAAAGCTTTTCTTCTCAATTGCTTAAGAATGTCCTGTCCGCAATGTATTGATTTTGACATTTCCACATTTGAAGCATGTAGAATACATAACTTAGCAATGCACTGGCTTAGTAACCTCAGATTTGGCAGGGAGGTTGTCCTTGAGCTCTAGATGGCCACTGTTGATTCTGACAAAGTGGTATGCGGGGGTATTCACGCCATGATAGTGGCAGTTCTTGTTCATGAAAATTTTTATAGTGTGTTAAAATGTTAACTATTGTAAAGGGAACTAAGAAAGTTGCCAAAAATAGATGAGAACATACATAAATAGCCCTTACTTGACTGGTCACCCATAGAAATATGGTGATAAATACTGCCATTTATTACATGCTTTTCGGTGGTTTATAGAAATATATCAGTGTAATAAAAGCTGTTTTAAACAGTGAAATTATCAATTTGATAATTTCACTGTTTTGAATATTTGAGCCTGTTACATTGTTTCAGTTCACAGTACTGGAAACCAACATAATGATGTGACGTCATAACTGACGTCGCGTTTTATTATTTTTTGGCACGTTTTTCAGTTAGTATTATATACTAAAAAGAAAATTTGTTTTGTTCAGAGTAAGACTGAAATATATTTTACCTTGTGGACACCAAAAGTTCTTATTAGTATCAGTCAATGATTACATCTATAGAACATGTGAATTTTTGTGAATATTTTTACTTTACTTTCTTAGTACTTGTTTCTCAAGGTGGATTTTCTTGAAATAATTTGGCTTATCTGGTGTCATGCACATTTAAAGTTCATTTTTTAAGAAGATGTAAAAGCTATTAATTTCAAAACCAGTATTTTCAAAACAGTAGGCCTTTTGAAGCCAAGGGGTAGATATTCCTTAAATTATGTTTTGTAAGGTTATTCGCCTTTCATAACTAAAAAGTATTTTTGCCCTGGTTGGCTATTTTGTAATGGTCTGTTTCCTTAGAAACCATCAAAAGGCTTAGAATTTTGATTTTTTGTGTCGCCTCTATAGAGTAGTCTGTCACAAAACTTGTCCAGACTACTCCCCAGAAAATACTCAGATGCAATTTCATCCTAACTTTACAGGAATGCTCAGTATTAAGTCTAGTTTGCATTTTACAGTTCAATGAGGTTTTGCCAGTGTTATGGCCTTAAATAATTTGTTTGTGGCGTCTTCAAAGTAGTGGCGACATACAGGGATCACTTCTTCTGTCTGTCTGGCCGTGCAAACATATAGATACTTATGGGGCTATGGGATCAATATGTAACAGTAAATTTCCTTTGACGCTATTCATTCAGTATATATTTTTATGTGGCTACTTTTTCTCTTACATTGGCTAAAAGAACGATAGAGAGAACATAATATAAGAATGGCTACTTAGATACCAAACTTTGAGCTTATTCTTCTGTCAGTTCTTCACAAAATTTGCCTGGCTACTCCTCAGAAACTACTGGTGCAGTTTCATCCAAACGTTACAGGAATCATCAGTCCAAAGTCTAGTTGTGCATATTTCTCTGCATTTTTTTGGTTTAATGATTCTTGTAAGAGTTATGGCCCTTTAATGATTTTATTTTTAAATTTTGTCTGGACTACTCCTTTTTAACCACACTTATGCAATTTCAATGAAACTTTACAGGATTGATCAGTAGTTCAAGTACTTAATACATATATTACACAGGTTTTCTGCTTGAATGATTTTTGGATGAGTTATTGCCCTTGAATTAAAAAGGTCCTGACTTCTCAGAAACTACTGGTGCAATTTCATCCAAACTTTACAGGAATGATCAGTACTAAGTGTGGTTATACATTATTATTATTGTCAGTATTTTAAAGTTCAATGATTTTTGTCAGAGTTACGGCCCTTTAATGTTTTATTTTTAAAGATTGTATAGACTACTCGTGTTAAACCACTAATCCAATTTCAATGAAACTTTACAAGATTGAGTAGAAGCTCAAGTATTACACAGGTTATTAGCTTGAATGATTTTTGATAATACTTAATGTCTATACATCAGCCAGTTGTATTATTATACTCCAGACACACAATGTGGAGGGTGCTAGAGTGGAATGACTGTGTCCTGTCCATCAGTCATACTGTCTGTCTCTATCACGTTTGCCCTATAAACTCTTTTCTCCTTGAAAGACTTTCTTCAAACATGGCTTAAATGTTCACTTCTCAAGGCATTGTGCAGAACCCATACAGTATTTTTGCCAGCTGAAGGTCAAGGTCAAATGTCAACACTATATATCATATACTCCTTATTTCATCACTCAGCTTAAATGTTCACCTCTACAACCCCAAGGCTGGTTCAAAGTCAATTATATGTGACAATTTCATGTTAGCTTCTTAAATTCTTTACCCCTAAAAAAAATCACATTAACAGGGCAATGGCGCTGCTTTGCTACTAATGTCAAGGTCATACACTGAGATGAAATGTTGGACAAATTTTCTTGACTGCTCTATAAATGCTATACCTTGGCCTGCTATACACCTTGAAGGATTTTCTTTAAATATGGAATTAATGTTTACCTTAATTAAAGGTTATATGCTGGACACATCTTTGAACGTCAGATGTTTGGCATTTTTGAGTCTGCATAGATATATATGAGCCGTGTCATGACAAAACCAACATAGTGAGTTAGTTTGCGACCAGCATGGATCCAGACCAGCCTGCGCATCTGCGCAGTCTGATCAGGATCCATGCTGTTCGCTATCAGTTTCACTACTTGTAATAGGGTTGATAAGCGAACAGCATGGATCCTGATCAGACTGCGCGGATGCGCAGGCTGGTCTGGATCCATGTTGGTCGCAAACGCATTACGTTGGTTTTGTCATGACGCGGCTCATATATAATTGTACACTCTAAAAAACTTTCTCCTTTCTTAGCTGAAATGTTTACCTTCAAAAATATTGATGAATAGACTTACATAATGCATACATAGAGAATTATATGTAACAAAGACGACAGGTGTATTGCTCTTTCCTTTGACAGCTGTAGTTATACCCCCACAAACAGCTGTAGTTATACCCCCACAAACAGCTGTAGTTATACCCCCACAAACAGCTGTAGTTATACCCCCACAAACAGCTTGTAGTTATACCCCCACAAACAGCTGTAGTTATACCCCCACAAACAGCTGTAGTTATACCCCCACAAACAGCTGTAGTTATATCCCCACAAACAGCTGTAGTTATACCCCCACAAACAGCTGTAGTTATACCCCCACAAACAGCTGTAGTTATACCCCCACAAACAGCTGTAGTTATACCCCCACAAACAGCTGTAGTTATACCCCCACAACAGCTGTAGTTATACCCCCACAAACAGCTGTAGTTATACCCCCACAAACAGCTGTAGTTATACCCCCACAAACAGCTGTAGTTATACCCCACAAACAGCTGTAGTTATACCCCCACAAACAGCTGTAGTTATACCCCCACAAACAGCTGTAGTTATACCCCACAAACAGCTGTAGTTATACCCCACAAACAGCTGTAGTTATATACCCCCACAAACAGCTGTAGTTATATCCCCACAAACAGCTGTAGTTATACCCCCACAAACAGCTGTAGTTATACTGTAGTTATACCCCCCACAAACAGCTGTAGTTATACCCCCACAAACAGCTGTAGTTATACTGTAGTTATACCCCCACAAAACAGCTGTAGTTATACCCACAAACAGCTGTAGTTATACCCCACAAACAACTGTAGTTATACCCCCACAAACAGCTGTAGTTATACCCCCACAAACAGCTGTAGTTATACCCCCACAAACAGCTGTAGTTATACCCCCACAAACAGCTGTAGTTATATCCCCACAAACAGCTGTAGTTCCCCACAAACAAAGTTTTAGAGGCAGATATAGGAGTCATCTTGTAGGTCGGCTGGTCATCTGTCCATTTCATGGTTTCCCCGAAGATAGCAAGAATCATATGTAACAGAGATGATGGGTGTATTCATCTCCTGTGACAGCTCTAGTTTTAAGCTCGCCTGTCACAAAGTGACGAGGTGAGCTTTTGTGAATGCTTTTCGCTCGGTGTCCTGAGCTATTTGGCATAAAACTTCTTCTAGCGAGTTTGTTCAAATAAAAGCCCTGTGGTCAAAATTGGTCAGCCCTGGGGGTCAGTGATTTTCATTCTTCTCTTAAAACACCCAAAGAGTTAGAGCTTAGATATTAAGCATGAAGCATCTTCTAATAGGTGTCTACCAAGTTTGTTCAAATAAAAGCCCTGGGGTCAAAATTATTTTTGTACATGGAGAGTTTTTATATTCAGGTGAGCGATTTCAGGGCCATAATAGCCCTCTTGTTTAACTTCTCATAATCTGAGTACATGTTTGATATCCTTGTCTTTTTTATATTATGTAAAATTCTTGTTGTATAAATTTAAAGTTTAGATACATGTTTAAAGGGTAGATTCAGATGGTAACAATAAGCTGTGTATAGATGAACTACAAGATTGGATTGTCAAGAAAACTCTGGAACATTTTAACGAGGCATTAGAGGAGAATGATCACATATTTAGTCATATGGATCCAACTGGACGAGGTTTGATATAGTTTTAAATACTTTTGGGTAACAAAATGAAATAAGCAGAATAAGCATAAGATATGCAGAATGTTAATAATTAACTGTTCAATTAACTTGATTATAATGTCTATATAACACACAATTATCATGTTGTTCATATTACTGTATGGTATCTGGTCATAAATATTGTTTGATAAGTCATGCCAGAAACACTACATTCATGCTTAAATTATCAAGGATGAAAAACTAGGTCTTTTGTGGAAATTCAAGTGTGATTATATCTTTTAATTAAAAGTCATGGCTAGAAGGACTTCAGTGATATATAGGTATAAATAAATGTATATAGCAGGGCTATTTTTCACAGGTTGGGGAAGCAGCCATGCCCTTAAATTTATTTTTGGGAAAAAGTACACGGTAAATTTGCAAAGGGGGAAATAAAAACTTGATGTAAATTCAATTTTTAAGAATTTTTCTTTGGGGAAGCAACTATATATAATGGCCCCTGCTATATAAGGGGAAAAAAGCCCTGGCTAGGTTAAGGTTGTATGGCAAACAACTGTTCAAATTCAGCCATATAACTTGTAGAGAATCATTAAACAAATTTACAATACATCAAACTTAATAAAAGGAAAATATTTCATTAATTGCCAACAGCAGTGTATATGATTCATATAAACATCACATTTATCCAATGAAAAGTGATATTATAAACTTAAGTATTATAATGATAGATAAATACACATCAGAGTAGGGCTGGAAGGTGATAATCAGCCCGCAAAATGAATAATGACCCCAAAGGCCCTTCCTTAATTTTGTTTAGGTATGTATTTTGTTATATAACACAGGTTATTTTGTTATATTACAATACATTTCAGAGGTTATCTTGTGATATAACCATACATTTGTTTCTGTATGTTTACAGGTTATGTTGAATGGAAGGAATACTACATTCATTTCTTATTAGCTAAAGGATATCCAATTGAAAGAGCTAAAAGACATGTACAAGACTACGATGAGATTGAGCTAGATTATGAAGGTATGACATCAACATTGTAAAGACATTTAATATATGAGCGCATCACAACAAAACCAACATTATGGGTTTGCGACCAGCATGGATCCAGACCAGCCTGCACATCCGCGCAGTCTGATCAGGATCCATGCTGTTCGCTATCAGTTTCTCTACTTGTTATAGGGTTTGTAAGAGAACAGCATGGATCCTGATCAGACTGCGCGAACTGTGACAATTATGTTGGTTTTGTCCTGACGTGGCTCATATGTACAATGTATGATTAATATAAATTTTTTCTATATAATTATACATATATCTCCTCATTTTTAGCTCAAATATTCAATAAGAATAAGTAGAGCTATCATAGTTACCCGAGCGCCAGTGTCGGCATCGGCGTAACCACTTATGTTAGAGTTTTTGTAACACCTCAAATGTTTTCAAAGTCCTTCGGCATATGGGTTTGAAACCTACCACACTTGTTTACTATCATGTCCCCAACCTGTAGACAGGATGAGGTTATTCTATCAAGCATTTTGACCCTTTATGCCCCTCTGTGGACTAAGAATTTATGTGAAAGTTTGCGTACCACCTCTGATATTTTCATATTTCATGAACATCTTGCTTTGAAACAAGTTGAAATTTTATACACTTCTTTGAGAGCATAGTAGGACTCCCTCCAAGGCCTATAACATGGAATTGAAAAAAAAAATTGGCCCTTTTGTGAACTTTGAAAAAATTTACGTTATCAAGGCTCTTTTACTATCAAGCACTAAGAATAGTGGAGTGTGCTGTCCTTGTTGTAAATCATGCTATGCTGTCTTAAAGTGACATTATGCCAATGTGTGTAGAATGGTGAGTGCACAAGTAAAAGTCAAGATAGCTTTAAATTTTTCCTTATTTGTGTTCATTTGCAAGTTTTCGAGGCAAATTTCTTTAAATATCCTTTCAAAATGTATCGGAATTCAATCTTTAGAAAGATTAGGGCTGTCCTTCTATAATGTTGAGGTAGTTTTAACCTTGACTATTCGATAAGAATAAGTAGAGCTATTGTAGTCACCCGAGCGCAGCGTCGGCGTAACCACTTATGTTAAAGTTTTTGTAATAGTTCAAATATTTTCAAAGTCCATTGACATATGGCTTTGAAACTTTGCACACTTGTTCACCATCATGACCCCAACCTGTAGACAGGAGGAGGAAACTCTATCAAGCATTTTGACAGAATTATGCCCCTTTTGCGACTTAGAATTTATGTTAAAGTTTTTGTAATACCTTAAATATTTTCCAAGTCCATTGACATATGGCTTTGAAACTTTGCACACTTGTTCACCATCATGACCCCAACTTGTAGACAGGAGGAGGTAACTCTATCAAGCATTTTAACAGAATTATGCCTCTTTTGCGACTTAGAATTTATGTTAAAGTTTTTGTAATACCTCAAATATTTTCAAAGTTCATTGACATATGGCTTTGAAACTTTGCACACTTGTTCACCATCATTACCCCAACCTGTAAACAGGAGGAGGTAACTGTATCAAGCATTTTTTTTTACTATCAAGCACTAAGAATAGTCCAGCGTTGCTGTCCTACCGACAGCTCTTGTTCAACTTAGAATTTACGTTAAAGTTTTTGCAATAGTTCAAATATTTTCAAAGTCCATAGACATATGACTTTGAAACTTTGCACACTTGTTCACCATCATGACCCCAACCTTTAGACAGGAGGAGGTAACTCTATCAAGCATTTTGACAGAATTATGCCCCTTTTTCGACTTAGAATTTATGTTAAAGTTTTTGTAATAGTTCAAATATTTTCAAAGTCCATTGACGTATGGCTTTGAAACTTTGCACACTTCGTCTTGTTCACCATCATGACCCCAACCTGTAGACAGGAGGAGGTAACTCTATCAAGCATTTTTTTTACTATCAAGCACTAAGAATAGTAGAGCGTTGCTGTCCTACCGACAGCTCTTGTTATATTTTATCCTTCACGTTTTACATTATCAATTAATAAAGTCAATCTTTTTAAATGTATTGCTTATTCAGCTCAACTTGACAAAGAAAAAATTAGCATAATGTCACATTGAATGTTATATTGTGCACAGTATAAATTATAGTTAGTATAACGGGACAGGCGCTTTACTTTATATAGTAATTTGTACGTTTAGTCTACAGATGTGTTTGTAATGTCTGTGAAACACTACATATAGTATAGATAGTATAACCAAAAATAAAATCCTGGTATACAAGGATATATATTTTGCACCTGGGGATTTATTTCCATGCTGACATCCCTTACATGAATTATAGATTCTTCCAGATAGTATTTTGATACTGACACACTTTATTTATTATATATTTTTCCATATATTATTTTTATGTTGACACCTCTGACACTACTTATAGAATTTGCCAGAGTATATTTTGATGCTGACACCCTTTGCACTACTTATAGATTCTTCCAGGTATTATTGTGTTGCTGACACCCTTTGCACTACTTATAGATTCTTCCAGATATTATTGTGATGCTGACACCCCTTGCATTACTTATAGATTCTTCCAGGTATTATTGTGATGCTGACACCCTTTGCATTACTTATAGATTCTTCCAGATATTATTGTGATGCTGACACCCTTTGCATTACTTATAGATTCTTCCAGATATTATTGTGATGCTGACACCCTTTGCATTACTTATAGATTCTTCCAGATATTATTGTGATGCTGACACCCTTTGCATTACTTATAGATTCTTCCAGATATTATTGTGATGCTGACACCCCTTTCACTACTGAAATATCTTCCAGATTTTGGTGCTGACATCTCATATACTACTCAATTATTCTTACCAATTATAAGTAGGCAATTTACTAGCTGACAGTAGGGAGAGCATCAAATTTATAATCATAGCGACACTGGATTGGTCCTTGAACAATGCGTAATTTCTCTATAACAATTGATCTACGACATTGACTGATTGAGTCTAGTTGACATTTGTCTCTGTCAGCTGATTAAGAATCATGTGGGATCAGTAGTTTGTCACTTACAAATTGGTAATTACTAGTTTGTTATCCATAAATGTCTGTTATGTGGATCCATCGCTAAGGTATGTTTGAAAAAAAAAGTTTAAAATTCCAGAAAAACAAACAATGATGGACAGGACAGTTATACATGTACAAAACAAAACAATACAATATAGTACAATACAATACAGTACCAGGGTTCTCACTAGGACTTTAAAACATGGAGTCCATGGACTCCCAACCCTGAAAAAGTTGGAGTCCAAAAGCACGTCGCAATTAATATGTTTATAGATTAGTCATTCAATGCTCACAATAGCATTGCTGATATTTTGAATCTTCAAGAGACTTTCAAAGTTTATAGTTATTCAAAAAAAATTCTGAATTATTGTTTTGTTGTTAATATTTATTATGAAATTATTTCATTATAATGCATCAACACATGGAAATCGTTTTTTTTTTTTTTTGTGTTTTTTTTTTTCACATTTATACCAAATCAAATTTTATTCTGGTTAAATAAGTCCACTCTAAAGACAAAAAGTTTATATTTGTAAAAAAAAACGTAAATGTATATAGGCAGCGTTTAGCGGAATGAATAGGAAAATCGTGTACAGCTTCACACAGTGTGTAAGAGATTCATCCGATCGACAATTATTTTAGCAAATATCTTCAAAAGGGGGCAAATTGAAGATCGATATTTAAGATTTAATGTTGATTAAATAATAAAAGAACAGTTCATTCACGTGTTTGGATTGGAAACTGAGAATTTTTGCGAAATTTTAGGGTTTCTGGCGAACGTGAAATCGCCGATGTTCGGGATCAATTTTCGGATCAAAGAAAAGCATATGTGTATTTTTGTTTGTTGTCTTGGCATTTCGGCACAATATCTTAAATTCTTAATACTCTTGTAGAACGTTTTTGCAAGAATGAAACTAAAGCAAAATTGTGCCTAGAAAACGCCGAAAATATTCGACAATCATTCAAAATTACACTCATTTGTAATTTGAGAAAACAGTCTTTAAACTTGCGGCGTAAAAAGTCGATAATTTTATCCTTTTGTCGGTAAAATTTGCTAATTTCCAATCAACTGTTGATCAAAGATATAAAATTATCACCTTGTGTTATATCTGGTAATTACATGTAGGCCTACAGCGCGTGTATACATTAGTCTGATCACTATTGCGTGATAATGATCGGAATCGTTATCGCTGATTGGCTAATCGCTTCACGGGTCGATGTGCATAGGACCGCCTACCTATAGACTGACACGCGCTGACGTATTTGTGTATTTGTGGTTGTAAACAATCGGTAATTTTATGCGTCCCCAGGCAAAATTAAGCGTACGTGGAATCCTTGCTCTGAAATATTTGCGTCAATCTGTAATAAATATGCGTACCGGGACGCCGAAATAAGCGTCCCCGAGAACCCTGAGTACAGTACAGAACAATTCAGTGCAGTACAGTACAGAACAATACAGTACAGTACAATACAATACAGTACAATACAGTACAGAACAATATAATACAGTACAATACAGTACAGTACAGAACAATACAGTGCAGTACAGTACAGTACAGAACAATACAGTACAGTACAATACAATACAGTACAATACAATACAGTGCAGTACAGTACAGAACAATACAGAACAGTACAGTACAATACAGTACAATACAATACAGTACAGAACAATACAGTACAATACAATACAGTACAGAACAATACAGTACAGTACAGCACAGTACAATACAATACAGTTAATACAGTACAGTACAATACAATACAGTTAATATTGTACAGTACAATACAATACAGTTAATACAGTACAATACAATACAGTACAGAACAATACAGTACAGTACAGCACAGTACAATACAATACAGTTAATACAGTACAGTACAATACAATACTCTTTATTGGTAAGTCAGGTTACAAACATGGTAACAACATGAGGATATATATCAGTACAATACAGTGGGAAAATAGTGGTGTTTTTTCTTATTTTCTAATAACATGTATAAAATAATGCACTTATAATGAAATCATTGAGTCACTGCTGTAGGAACTGAGTACAGTTTCATGTAAGGTATTTGACTTCAAACCCGCTGTGGGTTCGAATCCCTTCAAGGACTTTGGATTCTTTCATGTTAGGAAGCTATCCAGCTAGCTTACGGAACGTCAGTGGTTCTACTCAGGTGCCGTTCGTGCCTGAAATAATGCAGGGAAGGGCACTTGAGGTCTTCCTCCACCAGTAAAGCTGGAATGTCGCGATATGACCTATACTGTGTCGATGTGACGTAAAACCCAAAACAAAAACCAAAAAATTATTAAATCTTTCAGAGAGAGAACAGTTGATCAAGTATAAGTTTAAATGGACAGATGCAGATCAGGCCCCAATGGACAACAAGCTGACCAAAGATGAATTCCTGGCCTTCAGACACCCAGAACAAAGTGAACAAGCCTTACAGAACATGGTTAAAACCATAATGGAATCACTAGGTAACTATGGCAACATGTTTGATGCCAAATTAACATTGTTATTGTTGTGATTATTTCAGCACAAGATCAAATTAGTAGATACCAATATAAATGGATGGAAATGGAGGGTGAAAGTTACGATAACAGGCTGTCTAAATTAGAATTCTTTGCATTTCGGCACCCAGAGCAAAGTGATCAAAATATTCTGAAAATGGCTATGTCCGTTCTAGAGACGTTAGGTAGGAAAAACAAATTATCAAACAAACCCTTTAACCTCTGCTACAAGTAGAACATGGGATTTGTAGAGCTTTACCTTTAGATAGAAAAGCAACAAATTATATAAAGGGAAAGAATTTGTTGTTCTATGTTTTATTTTATATTATATTATTTTATATTATAAATCATTGGTAGTCTTAGCTGTGTAGCATTCATTTCTTTTAGATTGACCTTTTATTTGCCTTTGATAATTTAATAAATGGATTGCCCCAATTTTTACATGGGGTATACAACTTCCCTGTATTAAGATAGATCCCGAAATAAATTAATTTGTCAGCATTGGCAATTTCTGTGTTGAAACAGAAGCATAAGACTGTGACAGTTACTTTATAAGTACTTTTTTCTGCGGGAACTTTATTTCTTTATTTTATCTCTAGGGTTCATAATGGCACTGCAGATTTTAAGTCCGCAGAAAATTATGCCTTTTCCCATGTTAATGTCCGAATATTTCAGCTACCGGTATTGGTTTGTTTGGTATTATAGTTTGACGGCTGTTATTGTATTGGCTGTTGTTGATGGAATATATTATATAGTTTGATATTTATATATTGAATATTACCTTTATCATAATGAAACAAAGCTAATTGTCAAGATAGATCAATAGGTAGGTAAATTTACACATTTTTATTAATATGTAATGCAACAGCTGTCTATATTTTCAACCTGGCAACAATACAAGTAGAGGATCTAAATCAATAAATGTCATATACACCTTGGCCTTACATTTATCCTTTAAAGTTCAATTTACTTTTACATATAATATGTTGTTGCTGTACTTTCTCTCATGCTTAAGGGATTGATGCCAGATGTGAAATATTTTAGTCGTGCCATGACAAAACCAACATAGCAGTCTGATCAGGATCCATGCTGTTCGCTATCAGTTTCTCTACTTATTATAGAGTTTGTAAGCTGACAGCATGGATCCTGATCAGACTGCGCTGATGCGCAGGCTGGTCTGGATCCATGCTGGTCGCAAACCCATTATGTTGGTTTTGTCGTGACGCGGCTCAAATATGTTTGTGTATAACACGGCTCATTTGTTCTTTATCATCATCACATTAGTGATATAACAAAGTTTATAACTTTTATGCCTTTACCCTCACCCATGCTTTAATCTTTGAAATTTCATATAGAAATTGTTTGTTTTTACTTAATCTTCTTTTTGAAATTAATATCATTACATTATATATTTTTGAGTAAATGTTTGAACTCGCTGAGATGAATTGCATGCCTAGCTTATATAGTAATAAAACAACAAATCTGTATTTCTACACATAAGGTATCTATTCTGACAATTTAGATGAAAAGAATTATAGAGAAATCTTAAAAAAATCTTCTTGTCAAAATCCACAGGGTTTAGAGATTTGATATTTCATGTGTGACATGATCTAGTGGTACTCTACAAAATTTGTGCAAGTTACATACCTAGAATAAAAAGGGGCCCAGCCAGGAGGCTCATCAGTTTTATGACGAGTAATAGAGAGAAATCTTAAAAAATCTCCATGTCAAAATCCACAAGGACTAGAGCCTTGAAATTTGGTTTGCGACATGATGTAGTGGTCGTCTACAAAGATTGTTCAAGTTATGCCCCTATATACACTGTCACCAAGGAAAATTGTGTGTAAAATTATTTCAAAATTGAATCAGTGGTTTTGATGTTGTTTAAATGTGTTTTTTTTCTCTCTAATATTAGAGGATAACTAGATGATCTTACATACCAAATATCAAAGCACTAGGTCTTTTGATTTCTGAGAAGTTAAATTTTTAAGATTTTCATAAATTACTCTAAATAAAACTAGTAGATGGTTTATTTTACAAGCCACCCTTTTATTAACAATTTTATAGAAATAAAGACAAACTTTCCATACATTAAAATAGAGAAAATGATAGTGAAGATATGGGAGACATATTAATATAGTTTTTGCAGTGTTCATCTGGTTCATTATTATTGTCATATATTGATGGATTTTTAAGTAAGTTGGTAAAAACTTGATCCACATTTGAGCCATGTCATGACAAAACCAACATAATGGGTTTGCGACCAGCATGGATCCAGACCAGCCTGCGTATCCGCGCAGTCTGATCACGATCCATGCTGTTCGCTATCAGTTTCTCTACTTGTTTTAGGGTTTGTAAGCGAACAGCATGGATCCTGATCAGACTGTGCGGATGCGCAGGCTGGTCTGGATCCATGTTGGTCGCAAACCCATTATGTTGGTTTTGTCGTGTTGTGGCTCAATTAGACAATGCGTCTCACACAAGACACATGTCTGAGGCTTAAGGTGACAATTTGATTCAAAGCAAATTTTTATTTTGAGCTCAATTTTTATTTTTCTAATAAAAAAACATGTTGTTGTTAATGTTGCTGTTGCAAATTATCGAAATTCGTTTGACTTTGCTTTTATTGGCTTTGTTTTTTTATGAATAGATTGGTTTAAGCATGTATTTACATTATGTATTATGAACAATATTTACACAATACATTTTGGATTTGGGCAGAAAGTTATGAAAGCTTATGAGTGTCGTCATAGTGATACTTGAGCACAGCTACCTTAAGGACAATGTTTTAAGAAGACAAAACTCAATTTGAACTTGACTGATAAACTTGACGTTGAAGGTCATATTATTGTAATTTCACAGTTATTAACTAAAATTGGCTATAACTTTGTAATTAATGAATGGATTGTCTTCAATTAGAACAAAGCAATCGTTGTGACAAGACATTGATTTTGATTGATTGACCTTGACCTTAATTTGACGTCTACACTAAAGGTTAGTTAAGTGTATTTTGCTAAAATTGACCATATCATTGTTAAGGTATGACCACCTTTATGCATGACCTCCACTTTGAAGAGTATTCAAATGGGTTAAAATTGCTGTCAACGGCACTCATGGGTTCAAACCCCAGAAGGATCAACTTTTTTCTCTTTCTTTTTTTTTCTGTTTACATTATTTATGTATCTGTCAGTTCCCTTTTGGAGCAGGTTACAGGTTAAACAATGATTGTATGCTCAAAAACCTCTTAAATATCTTGAAGAAAAGTTAAAGGTAGATATTATACTTGTCACATTAGATCAGAATGGCAACAAAGTATTGACAGAGGAAGAATTTGTTTCCCTACCACTGGGTGATGTTGATGATGAAGAACAGAAAAGACTCGACAAAGAGTGGCAGAAAGAACGAGGAGAGGAATTTAGAAATCAGATTGACTTTGATCATAATGGTGAAGTAACTATAGGTGAATTAAAGGTAAATGATACACCAGACTTTTGAGCTCGACTATTCGATAAGAATAAGTAGAGCTATTGTAGTACCCCGAGCGTCGGCGTCAGCGTCGGCGTAACCACTTATGTTAAAGTTTTTGTAATACTTTAAATATTTTCAAAGTCCATTGACATATGGCTTTGAAACTTTGCACACTTGTTCACCATCATTACCCAAACCTGTAAACAGGAGGAGGTAACTGTATCAAGCATTTTGACAGAATTATGCCCCTTTTTCGACTTAGAATTTATGTTAAAATTTTTGTAATAGTTCAAATATTTTCAAAGTCCATTGACATAAGGCTTTGAAACTTTGCACACTTGTTCACCATCATGACCCCAACCTGTAGACAGGAGGAGGTAACTCTATCAAGCATTTTGACAGAATTATGCCCCTTTTTCGACTTAGAATTTATGTTAAAGTTTTTGTAATACCTAAAATATTTTTCCAAGTCCATTGACAAATGGCTTTGAAACTTTGCACACTTGTTCACCATCATGAACTCCAACTTGTAGACAGGAGGAGGTAACTCTATCAAGCATTTTGACAGAATTATGTCCCTTTTTCGACTTAGAATTCATGTTAAAGTTTTTGTAATACCTCAAAATATTTTCCAAAGTTCATTGACATATGGCTTTGAAACTTTGCACACTTGTTTACCATCATTACCCCCCAACCTGTAAACAGGAGGAGGTAACTGTATCAAGCATTTTTAGCTCGACTATTCGATAAGAATAAGTAGAGCTATTGTAGTACCCCGAGCGTCGGCGTAGGCGTCGGCGTCGGCGTAACCACTTATGTTAAAGTTTTTGTAATAGTTCAAATATTTTCAAAGTCCATTGACATAGTGCTTTGAAACTTTGCACACTTGTTCACCATCATGACCCCAACCAGTAGACAAGAGGAGGTAACTCTATCAAGCATTTTGACAGAATTATGCCCCCTTTTTGGACTTAGAATTTACGTTAAAGTTTTTGTAATAGTTCAAATATTTTCAAAGTCCATTGACATATGGCTTTGAAACTTTGCACACTTGTTCACCATCATGACCCTAACATGTAAAGACAGGAGGAGGTAACTCTATCAAGCATTTTGACAGAAATTATGCCCCTTTTTGGGCTTAGAATTTACGTTAAAGTTTTTGTAATAGTTCAAATATTTTCAAAGTCCATTGACATCATGGGCTTTGAAAACTTGCCACACTTGTTCACATTCATAAACCCAAACCTGTAGACAGGAGAGATAACTTCTATCAAGCATTTTGACAGAATTATGCCCCTTTTTGGACTTAGAATTTACGTTAAAGTTTTTGTAATAGTTCAAATATTTTCAAAGTCCATTGACATATGGCTTTGAAACTTTGCACACTTGTTCACCATCATAACCCCAACCTATCAAGCATTTTTTTTTACTATCAAGCACTAAGAATAGTCGAGCGTTGCTGTCCTACCGACAGCTCTTGTTTTTACTATCAAGCACTAAGAATAGTCGAGCGTTGCTGTCCTACCGACAGCTCTTGTTTCTAACACAATTTATATATATATTATATTATATATGAGATACTGCCTTATTGCTTTTGACAAATTAAATGGTATAGATCTATATGTTATGAAATGGTATAGATCTATATGTTATGAAATGGCATATATCTATATGTTATGAAATGGTATAGATCTATATGTTATGAAATATTTTTATAAAATTTATCAGCAGTAAAATTATAATGGTTCCATTATTATATTATATGGTTGATTTCCAAAAAAGTTGTAACATAGAATGTCTCTGTTATTTTACGCACATGAATGATGTACCTTAACAGAATAAAATGTTCTGGAACATTATATTATTTGGCTATTTTAAGTAGGGTTTTATCCGTTTAGCAATGACTTTGTGCATGTGTCACTGGCTTGAAGGCAATTTAGTGCCATTATTATTTCATACAAACAATTTTAAAGTATTCTTTTTTAAAATCCAAACAATATTTTTAGCATCAGACCTATAGCTTTATACACAAGATTAAATTTCAAATAAAAGATAAGACCAGATGTTTAATATTGACAATTTTCTTTAGTCACCTGTTTCAATCATCTTTTTACCCTGGCAACAGAAGGAAAATAGATGTTTTTCACATAACAATTATTACCTCCCCTGGCTGCCATTTTTTGGGGTCACTCCCAATATATCATTTGCTTAAGATAAGAGGAAAATCTCATAATTCTATCATCTTTGTAAGAACTGGAAAAAAATCTTGTACACATTGATGCTGTAATTATATTTTGCTGCATATGTATGAAAGAATTTAACAATTCACATAGATAACTTTTTAAAATTGACTTTTTTTCTTCAAATTTTGTCAATTATATTATTTAAAATTTTGATCCCCAAAATTGCTATCACATTTGGCAAGGGAGGTAAATATTGTAAAGATTGGAAACTATACAATATTGCCCAAAATTAGTTACCAAGGGTTCACAATCTTTAAAGGCACATCATGACTAAACATGAAAAGATTTTTCCTACTTCAGAAAGGGCAGACATGAGTTTTATAACATGAAAATAATAGTTAAAGAGTTTTTTATGCTTATCACATGAAGAAAGTAGCACTTAAAATGAAATCATTTGAGCCACGCCATGACAAAACCAACATAATGGGTTTGCAACCAGCATGGATCCAGACAGTCTGATCAGGATCCATGCTGTTTGCTATCAGTTTCTCTACTTGCTATAGGTTTTGTAAGCGGATGCGCAGGCTGGTCTGGATTGATGCTGGTCGCAAACCCATAATGTTGGTTTTGTCGTGACGCGGCTCAAATCATTTGTAATAAAAGTAGCAAAATGTAAATTAGTATTTTGACTTCCTTACAAAATAACACATTACTATAACTGCACTAATTGTCAAAAGGCAATGGAAACAAAGTTTTCATAGTTCAGGTAATTGGCCAATGGGTAGCATTTTTGACACAGGACACCAACAGTTAAAACTTTTTGAGAAATAAGAAAGTATTTTTGGAGCATACTGGGCCTTTAAGCACTCAGTATAAAGCGCAGTGAGTTCTATGAGTTGAATAAACAATAAAAAATCTTTAAACTACAAGTATAAGAATATTATTGATAAGGAGAACTACATGTATGTTTTCTGTATGGTTGTAGCGCTACATAGATCCTAGAAACCCCGACAACGCCAAGTCCGACACAAAGATTCTTCTAGAGGAGATGGACGATGATAATGACAAATGTCTGTCATGGAAGGAGGTCGAGAATCACAAGGATATGTTCATACAGAGTAAAATCGTCAATGTGCGCAGAATACTTCATGATGAATTCTAAAACTCTTTTACAAACTTAACTTGACCTACTTAAATTCTGTCGAAATCCACTCGTAGACAATATTTTACACAAATCTGGGATTTGTATGTATAAGAACTTTTGTATGTTTTAAGAGATACAGTATATTGATTTAAGTTCTTATTACTGTATATGATATTTTAAACATTTATAACAGTGGGAGTAAGGCCCATTTACTGTACATGGGAAAAGGTTTTGTAGCTGTGTGCCTTTGAGAAATTTAATCAGTGACTTTATGGTGATATCAGACCAGTTAAAGTTTGTTACACAAATTAAAAGTTTAGTACTGTATTTGTTATATATTATGTTATGATAATGTTATTAATGTTGTTAGTTGTTAACATTATCACCATCAAGTGAGTTTTAACAATGATCATGTGAAACAGTAAGCTATTAAAAAAAACATTTTGACATAATTTATGTTACAAGACATTAGATATGAAAATAAAGAGTTGTAGAATTTTTGCAACACAAGGATTTGAACAGAAAAAATGTAGGGGTTAAAGGTACAAAAGCCACAATTGCTGAAATTATAAGAACTATACCAAAGTATTGTAATGGAACCAAAGGACCATAATTGAAAGAAATCTGTACATTATCTAAATTTCTATTAAACAATGCAGTGTAAAGGCAAACAGAAAGGTACATGCATCAATAGCAATTAATTCAAAATGTTTTATTCCCTACTAATTCATAAAATCCATTAAAGGTCAATAACATGGAGGGTAAAGAAAAAACGTGATAAAAGTCTAGTTTAAGAAATTTCTCTAGTTATGCTTTACTCTCATTGAAGGCTTTAAAGAATTTAGATATACAAGCGTGTTCTATACCAACTTAAATCAGTTATAAATTACATGTAGTAAAGCTGACCGTTTTGATGGCTTACCTTTGTCTGGGGTTAAATTAAGCCTGTTAATGTTGAGACTGAATGTACCCGTGTGACCAGTGCTGACCAAGACTGACCGGCATGTGTGTGACATCTGATTATGATCCGTACTGTTGGCCATTTATTCAATACTTATTTTGAAATTTTACCTAAAAATGATGAATGGTTTTGTCTAGATTAAAAGATGGGCAAGTCAATTTTAAGATATTTAGCATGGTAAAGGTCAAATACAAAATTTTATTCAGTTATAGAAAGCTGAATATATCTCGATGTTTGTAAATCCATTGGTTTTAATTAATATGTAGTTACCATGACTTGAAATTAAAGTAACAGAAACTAGTGACAATAATGTGGGAATCATTATCTTGGTTTATTATAAAACTTTGCTGTAAATGTAACACAGATGAGCCACGTCACGACAAAACCAACATAGTGGGTTTGCGACCAGCGTGGATCCAGAACAGCAGTCTGATCAGGATCCATGCTGTTCGCTTACCAACTCTATTACAAGTAGAGAAACTGATAGCGAACAGCATGGATCCTGATCAGACTGCGCGAAACCCACTATGTTGGTTTTGTCGTGACGCGGCTCAGATGTTCTAAATTTATATATAAATGGTTATAAAAGTGGGTTTTGATTATATATGTATTTGTTTTGAGGGAATAATTTTTCTTGTTTGTACAATTCTTTGGTAAAGCTTTAACATTTGAATTTTTTTTTTTTTTTTTTTTTTTTTTTTTTTTATATAAATTAGAATGATGAGAATGAGTGTCTTAATTGACTCCACTGATTTTTTTACCATGATGGGACTAAAAATAAGTTTGGAGATTTATGTTCAGTTAAACTCAAATTAATTAGGCTAAGAATCACACTTGATGTTGATTTTCTATTTAATCCTTAGTACTTTGTTTTATTATCATTTTAATATCTTTCTATTTCAAGTTCTCCAGGTGATCTATGTTTATGAAAGATTTTCAAATTTAAATGGTCGTAAATTCTATGTTTATGAAAGATTTTCAAATTAAATGGTCGTAAATTCTATGTTTATGAAAGATTTTCAAATTTAAATGGTCGTAAATTATCTGTTTGTCAGGTCTCTTAATCTTTCATCTCTTAAATTTAGTCCTTAGATCATTAGATATCAAAGTCCCTTATTAGTTAAGTGCAATGTTTTCACAGCAATCAAAAGTATAAACTTATCAGGATGTTGATTGCATTAATTGTCCTGGTTTATGACACAATGGATGCTCGGAAGTCCCTAATTTAATGTTTATTCTGTACCTATTCTAAAAATTCATTTTTATTTCCTTGATAAATGAATTTATTTAAATACAATTAATAAGACAGTTTTTAATACTTGGACAATTTTAAACGATCAGAGAAGATATACATGTACTTTTACTGTATATGCCAATTTTCATGACCACTCAGAGATTTCTATGTTGTCATCATGATGTTATGTCACCAAAATTTTTGTATAATTGCGGTGACAAATTTGTTTTTGTGTTTTGTTAACATTCCATTATACCTTCACAATGCATTGTAACATATCAAACAAAAAATGTGATTGTTTTTGTAAGTGCAATGTTATTTTTTTGTAAGCTCATGTTACCTCATATGAGATGATATGATATATCAGGATCGTTGTCTGTCCGTTGTCTGTCCTTTATCTGTCTGTTGTCTGTCCGTTATCTGTGTGTAACATTTTTGTTTCTTTTATAGTAAAGCTCAGTTTATTTTGAGTTGAACCAAATTTGCACAGACATTGTATATAAACAGTAAATGTAAGTCCTTTTCCTTAGCCGCCTTAAGTGCATCGTCCGAAGCCACGGTACACATTTGTATATACTGTCTATCAATAGTGGTAAACAGTAAATAGCCTGGGTTATCAAGGATGCCTTAAATGATCAGATGTGTTGAACGGATATATCGCTGCACTTAATGTGTTACATGGCCTGATAGCGGATATATCGCTGCACTTAAAGTGTTACATGGCCTGATAGCGGATATATGGCTGCACTTAATGTGTTACATGTCCTGATAGCGGATATATGGCCTGCACTTAATGTGTTACATGTCCTGATAGCGGATATATGGCCTGCACTTAATGTGTTACATGTCCTGATAGCGGATATATGGCTGCACTTAATGTGTTACATGTCCTGATAGCGGATATATGGCTGCACTTAATGTGTTACATGTTTCCTGATAGCGGATATATGGCTGCACTTAATGTGTTACATGTCCTGATAGCGGATATATGGCTGCACTTAATGTGTTACATGTCCTGATAGCGGATATATGGCTGCACTTAATGTGTTACATGTCCTGATAGCGGATATATGGCTGCACTTAATGTGTTACATGGCCTGATAGCGGATATATGGCTGCACTTAATGTGTTACATGGCCTGATAGCGGATATATAGCTGCACTTAATGTGTAACATGTCCTGATAGCGGATATATGGCTGCACTTAATGTGTTACATGGCCTGATAGCGGATATATGGCTGCACTTAATGTGTTACATGTCCTGATAGCGAATATATGGCTGCACTTAATGTGTTACATGGCCTGATAGCGGATATATGGCTGCACTTAATGTGTTACATGTCCTGATACACCTCATAGGGGACAGAATTGATGATTTACTGTTAAATAAGAACATAAATTAAATATGCCACCTTTTTTTTCATATTTGGCTTCTTAGAGGTCACCCAATCTTGGTTTGCTATGAATATTCTATTTTCCTCAAGTCATAAAGACCTGTACCTTTATGTTGTACTTGGAATCACTTTGGCAACACAAATGTCAGGTTTCCTTCTTTCCTTGTGTAGGGTTATTAACGCTATTCTGAGCATCGGGTAAGAATGCATAACAATTGTCAAGTTTTTCAGCTCGACTATGCGATAAGAATAAGTAGAGCTATTGTAGTCACCCGAGCGTCGGCGTCAGTGTCGGCGTCTGCGTAAAGTCCATTGACATATGGCTTTGAAACTTTGCACACTTGTTCAACATCATGACCCCAACCTGTAAATAGGAAGAGGTAACTCTATCAAGCATTTTGACAGAATTATGCCCCTTTTTCGACTTAGAATTTACGTTAAAGTTTTTGTAATAGTTCAAATATTTTCAAAGTCCATTGACATATGGCTTTGAAACTTTGCACACTTGTTCACCATCATGACCCCAACCTGGAAACAGGTGGAGGTAACTCTATCAAGTATTTTGACAGAATTATGCCCCTTTTTCGGCTTAGAATTTACGTTAACGTTTTTGTAATAGTTCAAATATTTTCAAAGTCCATTGACATATGGCTTTGAAACTTTGCACACTTGTTCACCATCATGACCCCAACCTGAAAACAGGAGGAGGTAACTGTATCAAGCATTTTTTTTACTATCAAGCACTAAGAATAGTCGAGCGTTGCTGTCCTACCGACAGCTCTTGTTATTTCACACAAGCATTTTTTTTATTCAAGTCCAAGCTTTATACACAAGATTAGATTTCAAATAAAAAATGAGACCAGATGTTGAATATTGAGAATTTTCTTTAGTCACCTGTTTTAATCATCTTTTTACTCTGGCAACAGAAGGAAATGCTTTCCACATAGCAATTATTACCTTCCCTGGCTGCCATTTTGTTTGGGTCATTCCCAATATATCATTTGTTTAAGATAAGAGGAAAATCTCATAATTCTATCATCTTTGTAAAAACTTGAGAAAAAAACAAACTTCTACACATTGATGCTGTAATTATATTCTGCTGCATATGTATAATTCACATAAATAACTTGTTAAAATTGACTTTTTCCTTCTCCAAATTTTGTCAATTACATTATAAAAAATTGTGACCCCCAAAATGGCTATCACATTTGGCTAGGGAGTTAAATATTGTAAAAATTGGAAACTATACAATATTGCCCCAAAATTAGTTACCAAGGGTTCACAATCTTTAAAGGCACATTATGACTAAAAATGAAAAGATTTTTCGTACTTCAGAAAGGGTAGACATGAGTTTTATAACATGAAAATAATTTTTAAAAAGTTTTTTGATGCTTATCACCTGAAGAAAGTAGCCGTGAATATGAAATGAGCCACGTCATGACAAAACCAACATAATGGTTTTGCGACCAGCATGGACCAGCATTCGCGCAGTCTGATCAGGATCCATGCTATAGGGTTTGTAAGCAAACAGCATGGATTCTGATCAGACTGCATTGATGTGCAGACTGGTCTGGATCCATGCTGGTCGCAAAACCCATTATGTGGGTTTTGTCGTGACGCGGCTCAAATCATTTGTAATAAAATAGCAAAATGTAGAGTAGTACTTTGACTTCCTTACAAAATATTAAATTACTATAACTGCACTTATTGTCAAAAGGCAACGGAAGCGAAATATGGTTCAGGTAATTGGCCAATGGGTAGCATTTTTGACACGGGACACCAACAGTTAAAAACTTTTGAGAAATAAGAAAGTATTTTTGGAGCATACTGGGCCTTTAAGCACTCAGTATAAAGCGCAGTGAGTTCTATGAGTTGAATAAACAATAAAAAATTTAAACTACATAAATTAAATATGCCACCTTTTTTTTCATATTTGGCTTCTTAGAGGTCACCCAATCTTGGTTTGCTATGAATATTCTATTTTCCTCAAGTCATAAAGACCTGTACCTTTATGTTGTACTTGGAATCACTTTGGCAACACAAATGTCAGGTTTCCTTCTTTCCTTGTGTAGGGTTATTAACGCTATTCTGAGCATCGGGTAAGAATGCATAACAATTGTCAAGTTTTTCAGCTCGACTATGCGATAAGAATAAGTAGAGCTATTGTAGTCACCCGAGCGTCGGCGTCAGTGTCGGCGTCTGCGTAACCACTTATGTTAAAGTTTTTGTAATAGTTCAAATATTTTCAAAGTCCATTGACATATGGCTTTGAAACTTTGCACACTTGTTCACCATCATGACCCCAACCTGTAAACAGGAGGAGGTAAATGTATCAAGCATTTTTTTTACTATCAAGCACTAAGAATAGTCGAGCCTTGCTGTCCTACCTTTTTGTTGTTGTTTTTTTTTAACAATTGACAGGTGAGAGATAAGATGGTTATTAAATATGAGCCACGTCACAACAAAACCAACATAAAGGGTTTGCGACCAGCATGGATCCAGATCAGCCTGCACATTTGTGCAGTCTGATCAGGATCCATGCTGTTCGCTTACCAACCCTTTTACAAGTAGAGAAAATGATAGGGAACAGCATGGATCCTGATCAGACTGCGCAGATGCGCATGCTGGTCTGGATCCATGCTGGTCGCAAACAGATTACGTTGGTATTGTCGTGACGCGGCTCATTATGTTATTGAATGTTTTTTCTGTCTCCCTACATTACAGGATGTAATATATCTGTACAGAAATGTCCACAATTATTTAATGTATATATTGTGAAAACATTAAATTATTTTTTTTTGTATGTAAAAATTTTAATGTTTAACTATATAGACTTTGAAGTCAACATGATTTGTTTTCTTGTTACATTGCTGCATCATAAAAGCTTTAATAGCTGACTATATCTCCCCGAGGGGGGGGGGATTCTATAATTGAGTAAAGTCTCGGGGCGGGGGGATTCAGTTGTTTTATATAAAACTTAAATATTTCCATTTAAGGAATGTCTTTATAGCTGCAGTAACAATTGCAGTTGGTCATCATTGTAAAATGCTGTAAAAATTCCAATATTTTAAACATTGTAAAGTGCTATAAAATTCCAATATTTTAGACATTGTAAAATGCTGAAAAATATCAGAATCTTTAAGGCCCAAAGGTATTTGGTAGAGAGAATAGTTAATTGGACTTCTGCAAACTGAAAAAAATCATGTAATCTTTTAGAAGTTATTTTTTCATTTACTCAACTTGGGGATAAAAGCTCACTTATTTCTCACTTTTATGTTCCTCTTCTGTTAGGTCTGATTTCTGGTTCTTTCTTGTTCTTGATGTAAATTGGGAACGTAATAAAACCTGACTCAGAAACTACAGGTTAGGGAAAGTGGTTTTATTATTATTTTTATTGTTGTTGTTGTTAAATCGAATATTGAGACATGTATATTTTATGAATTTATTTATTCTTGGATTTTATTTCTCTTATTTTCATTGTTGATTATGGACAACAAAAGCCCCATTCCATTTCATAATTCAATTCATTATCACCAAGACAAAATGGCAACACATGCATCTCACTGTACAACAAATGAGCCGCGTCACAACAAAACCAACATAATGGGTTTGCATCAGCGCAGTCTGATCAGGATCCATGCTGTTCGCTTACCTACTCTATTACAAGTTTAATAACTGATAGGGAACAGCATGGATCCTGATCAGGCTTTGCGAATGCGCAGGCTGGTCTGGATCCATGCTGGTCGCAAACCTATAATGTTGGTTATGTCGTGACGCGGCTCAAATATGATTGTAGGGATGAGGTGCTTGTTTTGTTATGTTATGTCCCAAATAAAATGAACAAAAGTCATTTAGACAAACAACAGATGAGAATTGTTGATGAACTCTTAAATATTGTTTTTAGGTCCCAACTGGGTAACCCAAAATAAATGTATAAGTGTTTCTTCTTGACAGTTATTGACTCTTATTTAATGTTTTTTTCTTCAGATCTGAACAAAATAATGATCAGTTTTTTGTATAAATTTCTGTATATACAAGTTTTTGTATTGATAAATGTGTGTATATAAAGCAGGTATAACTTGGTGTGAAATCCAAATATAATAAATTTACATGTACTGATTTAAAGACACATTATCCCTCAGAAATCCATATTTGTTCACTTCTTTAGAAATGTCAAACATGTGTTTAATATATTAAATAATGAATTAAGTGCATGTTAGAACTTTTTGAAATAAAATAATAGCGCTGAAAATGCAGTTATTTGTTGTAAAAGGTAGCAAAATGTAAACAAAGTAGTATTTTTGATTTCCATACAAAATGCTAATTACTATAATTATACCTATTGCCAACAGAACTAAAGATGTAAAAGACAGCTCATATATATATAGAAAATGAGTATATTTTTGGAA